TATCAATGTGTTCATACGAGCAGGTGTAACTTAATGTACATTTTTATCGCCCAATCGAACACCCTCATTTGAACATTGTTTCGAGAGGTGTAAATCAAATAACAATCATTAGTCTTTTTTTATTTTTATTTTAAACACTATGCATTACACATACAAAATTTCGACCAAAAAATAATAAACTAGATGGAGAACATCTGGAAAAATCCCTAAAACTAAACTAAAAGAACTAATGGCTTGACTTAGAAAGGATCGAACCATGCAAACTTTTTTCTAACATATATAAATAAGTGTATATATATATGCATATACTAAGAAAATTAAAGATCACGTTGTTAATTCATTTATATACACATACATATGCTACCGACGGACTAAACAACTCTGTGACAGGATCTGTGTCCCTTTCCGCAAAGTGTCAACAATCAACTCGCACACAACAGATAGTCGTGCATCCCCTTCGTTGAGCAAACTTATTCTCATCCTTGCCAACAGATTCATGCTCAAAACTAAAGGCACATGCTTTTTCGACGTGCCATTCAAGCTGCTTTGAACCTGCATGGGCAATACAGTACGATTATTCGAACCGGTTAACGTAACCAGAACATGAGATGTCGTCGAAGCTCCTTTATCCTGATGGAACGTTGGGAACTTCCCTTGCCCAATTTCACGTTGCATGAATAAAAGCGATGTCTGCCCTCCTTTCTCGAATGATACCCCTGATCTCTGGTCAAGGTTCCGAACCCCTACCCGAAATCGGTATGTAATAGTCTTGGGATGGTTTGTGGATACAAATAGGTTGACGACCTGGAACTTGGGGTTTTTGGGTTGGAAGAAGAAAGTTAAAAGGTAGATGATGATGGCCACCACGACGATGAATATGCCAAGAAAGACACAACAATAACAAGATTTGGAACAACAAGATGATGATGATGATGTGCTCTTCTTTTTGGAGGCTTGTGGTGGTCGACGACTTTCGGCAATGGCCGCATTCTCATTTGGTGGGATGCGGTAGATTTGGTCTTTAGGGATTTGGACAACGTAGGTTTCAGCCGCGATGAATGAAGATTGAGGGTCTGATGAAGAAGGAACGGTACTCGTTGTTGTTGTTGTTGTTGGTTGGTTGGTTATTTCCATTGAAGAGAGGTTGGGCAACCGGAGGACAAAAGTTCCACGCGCCCGCCGGTGAGATGTGCGATATCTTTTTCTAAGCAAAAATATGAACAATTTTTCTTCTTCTTCTTGTTGAGATTTTTTTATCTATTTGTAGAGACGTGTTTTCTCTGGTGAACAATAGTTTTTGCCAATGACTTGTTGATTATCGATGATTTTTACCTTTGGATTGAGAAAGAATCATATATATCAACCTAATTGATTGTACACTTCTTTCACCTACATAAAATATGTATGTATAGCAATCATCAGCCAGTCAATAACTATATATAAGCATTTCACCTAAAATAGAACATGACACACATGGACCGACTAACATGATAATACTATAGTGTTATTAATATTATCCTAATAATATTTTTCATCAAGGGTACAAAAGTAAAATATATAAGAATTAAAATACATCCATTTTCCCGGGCCCCACCCCATATGAGAATGTTTGAGGAAAAGATAAAATTTGGTGAAATGTTTTCTATATTTCACTAGCGGCAGAGCTACTGATAAATACACAAAGCTAGAGGACAAACAATCTTTAACAACCTTGTCCAAAAAATGTGTGACAAGCGTCACTACTGCTACTAATTTACAACTAAATATATATAGTTTAGGCTAGTGTACACCCGGGTAGACCCATATTAGATACAATTAAAAAGAACGATGTCTTTTAACCTGTCTAATATGGGTCTAACGGGGTTAGGTTAGCCTATTAGATAGTAGCATGAACTTGATATTCAACATCCAAATCCTTCAGCAATTGTGTAATCTATTGAACTCCACACAACAATTGAGATAGAGCTTTGTACTCTGCTTCAGAGAATGACTTCGAGATAATTGCTTGCTTCTTGACTTTCTAGCTGGCGAGTGAACTCTTAAGAAAGGTACAAGATTTAGTAATTGACATTCTTGTTTGAGTGCAAGACCCCACTCTAAGTCATTGTATCTTGTTAGGGAAAATTTACATTTGATGGAAAGAATACCCCTTCACACTAAGAGATTTTGTTGTACCATAGAATTATGTGTTTATCTCTTAAATACGAACTTTTGGATTGTGCTTGAAACTAACATAGTCAATGCACTACATAAGCTATGTCGATTGTCGGGCCTAGTTGTAGTCAAGTAGCTTAGTCTTCCCACTAGAGACTTGTATGGAAATGATCCATTAGTTATTCATCATTAAACTGTGTTAACCTTTCTTCATATCTATTGCGGTCTTAGTAGGTTTTCCATTCAAGAACCCTGTGTCTGCTAGTAAGTCCATACATACAATACTTTCTCTGTTTGATTGATGTTCCAGTAGCACTTCGTTCAATTTCCTATCTGGCTAAAGATTAAAATTTCCCGAGTCTCTGAATTAGAAATCATGTGAGAGGAAGTCTTTTCCTTCTTTTATATGTCTTTGGTTGTTCCCTAAAATTATAATATCATAAACATAGACCCATACCACTATGATTCCATGACTTGTCTTCTTTCTGCATAAAGAATAGTAAGAATAATAATGAGTGAATCTAAATCTTGTAAAAATATCAGTTAGCTTGGCATTTCACTACCTGTGTGCTTGTTTAAGTCTATAGAGGGATTTCTTTAATTTGCAAACTTTTCCTAGCATTTCATTTATTCATGGAGGCAACTTCATATAAACTTCTTTTTTAAGATCTCCATTTAATAAAGCATTACTATTTTCCATTTGAATTAAGTGTCAGTTTTTAACTAAGGCCAGGCCCAGTACTGTCTTGACTGTGCCGATTTTCACAATTGGAGAGAATGTGTTCAAGGAAACATACTCCATGCACTTTTGTGAACCCTTTTGCTAAAAATTTGGATTTGTGTCTCTCAATTTTCACATATGCATTAAATTTGGTTTTGAAAACCCATTTGTTACTGAATGGATCCTTTTCCTTTGGACAATCCACTATGTTCCATGTTTGGTTAGCTACCAAAGCTGATAATTCAACTCCCATAGCTTGTCTCCTACATTCTTCTTTCATGGCTTCATGAAAAGTTTGAGGTTCCTTGAGATTAGTTACTACCATGAAAACCACTTACATTGTTGACTTCCTTAAGAGTAGTCCACGTAGACAGATATGGGGTACTTGCACTGAGGACTTCGAACATAATAATCATCATGCTGTGAAGGGGGAGATACTTTTCCTATCTTATCTTCTCAAAACTAGAGGAGAATGGGAGGATTTTCCTCTCCCCTTCTTCTTTTGCTGAGTTAAGCCTCATGAAACTTATTATCTTAACCATCCATCACATCATAATTAATGAAGCAAGGTGGATTTGCTTAAAGGGGACTCATGGTTAGAGACATTTTTCAAAGATGGATCATGATATGTATGCAAATGTTCTTATGTTGGGATTAGAGACATTACAAAAATGCTCGTGAGGGGCATAAGGAGTTGGGAGGGGGATGAAACTGCAACAACGGATGTATTCAATGAGCGAGTGAGGGGAGGAGAGACGTCGAACTTTGTCAATTGAAATGATCGATCGCCGAGAACCTTCCTTCGGGGCACCTATCTTCCAATGCTAGCACCACTCCTTCGCCAGCTTCGTCTTTGTCGTTCATCGCACGGTGGCTCCATCCACATTGTCGATTCTTTGTCACTCAGAGATGGAGAGAGAGGGAGAGTGAATCGTTATGTTTGGGGTAGAGATGGAAAGTCATATATAGAAGGGGTAGCAAGTACATGTGATAAGCTTTTTTGTTTTCATAATTAGCACCAATCTAATCCTAACGTTATGTTTGAGGATTATCCTTCATTTGTAAGTAGAAAGAAATTCCAATAGTTATTATCTGAAATTTTAATGGAGTCGACTTGGAGTTTGACTATTGGTGGCAACCGACAACAGCGGGTAAGATCAATAGTATAGTGGGTGGTACCGACGAATATAGTGGTGGAGTTCGGGCTCTTTATTTATTATTCTTTTGCATTAGGTTAGGAAAACTAGAAAAATTTTGCTTTTACTTTTTTGGGTAATTACTATTTATTAGTCTAATTTTAGGTTGTTTAAAAAAACTAAAAACTAGACCAAAAACAGTAGTTTGGGTAGTCCAGTTTTCCTTTTTTTTATGTTTTAGGTTCTTAGAAAAACTAAAACTAGACCAAAAACAGTAGTTTGGGTAGTCCAGCTTGCAGGTTAACCGAGTGAACTAATTTTGCCAATTAATCGGATGAACCGATTATGACTCGTCCAACTAGATTTCTTATCGTCTTGAGGTTGCCAGTAGCCAATCCGGTTTTATCAAATTGAACCGGCCAGTCCGATATTGATAAAAATTATAATCACACACCGTAGTCTCCACTCTCCTGCTTGACAAATGACAACCATTACTGAACTATCTGGAGTAGCTTCCTAAACTTACGTTTTTTTACAAGTATTACCAAATTGCTTGAGAATGACCAGTGCTTTACAAATTCCTAAAGTTGTATTGAGAACTTCAGTCAGTTGCCACCAAGGAGCAAAACAGAATAAAACACAATCCTGGTCGTTTAGAGTTCAGACTACAATACAACCACAATCAATCCCTAGCTTTCTGCAAGTAAGTTGTTCTAATCGCGACGATGTTGAACCGGTAGCCAAATGGATCGCCAAAAAAAAGCTTGTACTACTTACCCTTTGGTAGAACACGGAAAGAAAACATGAAAAGAAACAGCAATGATGAGTAAGTTCCCTCAAGTTCATAATCCTTCCATGAGTGATTGAGAGAACATCACCTTACTTCAATTTCTGACTTTGCGGAATCGAACTAAACTCACTTGCACATATTCTGTAGCAGCATGTAGCAGAGTGTATCTCCATTGCCAGAGAGAAACAACTTCATGCAGTCAGGCAGCTACTGTTCCCATAGCGATTCGCATCAAGTCTTCAACTTTGTCCAAATAGGGAAGCACATACTTCTTCAAGAACAACACATGAGCCATCTTGTAAACAGCGGTCATCTTAGGTTCTCGAGAGAGCAAATTCCTGCTCTGCAGTGCCTTTATAACCATCAGCCGTGGCTTTATCCTATTCTCAACGCTGCAAATGAGCAACTGAGGGGATTTCACAATACTTGAAATTTCCACATTCGCTTCGGTAACTAAAAAATCTACCACTTCCTTGACCTTCTTATCCGAAGTTGAGAATGCCATAGGCTGCCTCTTGAAAGCGAACAGAATATCCTCGTCCGAAAAGCCTAAATCCCTAAACAGCTTCAATTTGACCTCCCATTTCTCTGGACTCATGGAACTTACAACCCGAATAGCATACAGAAACATGTTTGATTCCCTATCTAACCCCATCTCATCAACCCTTCGAACAAACTCCTTCACATGCTCAGGCTTGAAAAGGAAAAACCTTGGGAAACTAGATATGAACCTCAATATCTTCTCCTCGCTCACCCCAAAACTCTGCACGTATTCGATGTTAGGCAGCATGGTGGCCTCCAAATCAAGTTTCAAAAACCAAGCAGATTTCTTCAACAAGGCAGCGACATTGGCCACAGATCCAACCACACTTTTCAATGCTACGATGGACGGCACTATTCGGTTCACCGGACTTCTTGTCAAAATCCAAGGATCGCCAGTTATTATCTCGGTCATATCCTTTGCTGCAAATCCAGTATCCTGGAAAACCTGGACCTTGGGCTTCAATACGTTCTCAACATCAGAATTAAGAACCCGCGGCACCTTTTGAACAATGGTTTCAATCTGAGCTCGGCTGAAACCAACATCCTTGAGATATGATAGCACAGAGTCGGCCCTTTCCGGCGTTTTGACGTGCTTCACGGCTGCGATCGACAAGGCTTTGGAAGCTATCTCAGGGGAGAACTGCTGTTGATTGACCAAGTAATCGAACACAGAAATTTTGGGTTTTTTAGCTGTTTTGTTAGCGACAGAGGAAAAGAAGGAAACAGAGCTCGGGTCGAGGAAACGGGTTGGGAGAGAATGTGAAGACGATCTAAGATAGAAGGAGACGAGAGTCCTGCAGATTTGACGACCCATTTTCCCCCCCTTTATCTAAGCTCTGCGGAAATGGCGAAACAGATACCTAATACAATGACGAGGAATAAATACCTCTAGTTGGGTCAAACTCACAAGCGAAATTCCTGTCTCTGTCTCTGATAGCCCTGGATGGGATCGGAGCTCGTCGACTCTGTAACAGAGGATTTTCCGGCAGCCTAAACCCTCCTGCTAGGGTTTTGACTTCCAGCGTAATAGATTGCTGCTTCTTTTTCCGCTTTAATTTGTGCTTCGTTTACCGCTTGAATTGGGGATGACGAGGATGATGTCGGGCTATCGTCGACTGGGCTTGTCAGATTACAGAGGGCCGGGCCCGGGGATCTTGAAGGCCCGTCATTTTATAGATGAATGAATAAGCATAGAAAGCATTTTAGTGGTCGAAATGTCAATTGGATATATGCATGACTGAATATTAAGGTGACAAGGAAATGTGAATAACTAGTATTATTATGTCTTCGTCGAAATGTTATTCACAATGTTCATTCTAATTTTTTAAAGTTATTTGAAATGCTTTAATTTCTTATGACATTAACGTGACGTAAAAAGTATTTTTTTTTCAATGTTTAATAATTCGGTCAATTAGTTGTCTTTGGTTAAAAAGAAAATTGACACAACCGAAAAAAAATAATCTAGATGACAAAACATAGCATAAATACGTAAAAAAATATAACTATAGTGTTTTAGCCAATATTTGTTTCTTTTGACGTGAGACACAATACATATACATCAACATGAGCGAAATAATCATAATTTTCGAGCAACTTTCTAAGGTTCATGAAACAACCAAATGAATTTACTACACATAATGAGTGAAGACCTTAGGGTTTATATTATGTAATCAGTTTTAGTTCGCGCATGAAACTAACGTGTAGAATTTAAGTCGGTCTTCTAATCGTGTCAAGTCTTTGTCCCATGCCCTTTGGGCTTGCCTTGGAAAAAAAAATCAATTAGAAGATGATACCTAGCCTAGAACAATACATAAATTGTATCAAATTTGATACTTAAAGAAAGTTTCAATGAAAAAAAAAAGTGAACGGTTAAGTATTGTTTTTTTTTTTTACATTCAAAAAATAAATTGTTTGACATGCAATGAAAAGTATTAATCACTAATCACATTTGCTTTGCCAGGCATTGATTATGAGTTCTATTACTACTTTGCAGTCACGAAAAACTGTGTTTTCATCAAGTATCCATTCATATTATCCTCTTTTTCTCATGTTTGTTTTGCTTGAAATATATGACATCCGACATATAAAATACAACTATATATGTATTCTATTGGGCTTATTAGACCATGATTATGTGTTGAAGGTCATAAACTGAGAAGATCGATACAAACAATAGAAAAACAATCGAAGAACATGCAATGAAACCTTGCAGGTCGGACTCATTGAAGCATAAATATACAAGAAAGAAAACTAAAGGAAACATACAAAAAAAGTAAAAAGATAACACCTGAAGCATAATGAAGCCTGCAAGTTTATTAATATGCACACAGTTTTTTTCTTATGATTTCACTAACTAGGCACAGACACAAGAAAAGGAAGAGCAATAGATGATGATAAAAACATCACGTTTTTTTTCTATGAGGACTACATAGAAGAAGAAACCCAAATTTTCTGCCCATCATCCTCTTTTCCTATTAATCCTATAAAAATCCAAATAATAGTTGTCCATAAATGTCAACAAAACTAAAAAGAAAAGGTATTGACGGTTACCTAGTTAATATTATTTATCAACATCATAAATCACAATTCTAGCATTCAATTGCCACAAGTAAATGAGCCATGCTAAGGGCGAGGAGACCAAATACATTGACATTGGGTAGATCAGTTACCATTGATAACATGCCCCTCAAACGAAAGCCACTCACAAGGGCTTGAAGTTTGCACAGGTCTGAAGACAAGAATACCATGTGCTTAACAAATGGGGGTCACCGGAAATCGAACACAAGACCTCTCGGTCACAGAAGGCTCTGATACCATGTCAAGAACCAGTTGTTTCCAATAGCTCGAGTTGTTGGGAAATGTCCAATCGTGGATCATATACCAAAACACTAACATATAGTTCAAAATTCAACTATACAAAACATACAATATTCAACAAAAATTATGGATAGGTCGTAGGTGTTTGGGCAATGTGATCACACACCACTTTTTTATAGTCATATTCATCAATGGGAACTTAAATGGAGCCTTGTAAGGATGCAGGTGGATGGAGAAAACCACCAAACTTTAAACCAACAATCGTAGACTTCTGCAAAGAATATTGAGAGCATAAAAACTCACTATCAATCATACCTCTAGGTTTCATTCATCGAATGCACCATAAACTTTTACCTTATTCTCAAGCTATCCTATGTATCAACCATCAGACACTTATTTGTATCAATCAACATTATATATAGTGCTGGAATTGTTACACAACAAATGACTGAGGTGGGCATGTTTTTTCAAAGGAGAAGAACATATATATGCATTCCGGTGCTCCCAATAATAATTTTTTAACAACCAAAATCGGACCAATTTGGATCTTTTATTGAACTCTGATGTCCTATGAGATGGAAGGGGCCATCAATTTAGAGTTTAATCGGTGATATGAGGCGTAGAAGAAGACTAAAACATTGGAGAGAAGGGGAAGGATAATTCTTAAGTTTCTTCTTCTTTTGTGTCTTTTCTTTTTTATTTAGGGTTAATATTTTTGTATGACCTGAACTTTGACTAAAATAAACATCCTGGCCAATTTTTTTATCTATAACATCCTGGCCTGAACTATACATCAAAATAAACGATTTGGCCAGATCCGGCTTTTGACCGTTAACTTGGATGGTCAAACGCGTTGACTAACGGTCAACGCGCCATGTCACTGCCAACTCAGCAAATTTCATTTTTTTTTTAAATTTACACCTATTTCCATTTTCTTTTTTTTTTATCATTTTGAACGAAAAAAATAAAACAAATTTTCAATTCAAATGATAATTTGTTTTATTTTTTGTCCCGAAATTGAAAAGGATAGAAACGATCATTTTTAAATTATTTTTTTTTTTGAAAGAATGATAATAAAAACATTTTGCCCCGAAATTGATTTTTTTTCGTTCAAAATGATAAAGGAAAGAAAATGGAAATAGGTGTAAATTTTTTTTAAAAAAATTGAAATTTGCTGAGTTGGCAGTGACATGGCGCGTTGACTGTTAGTCAACGCGTTTGACCGTCCAAATTAACGGTCAAAAGTCGAATCGGCCAAATTGTTTATTGTGATGTATAGTTCGTGTCAGGATGTTATAGATCAAAAAGATTGGCCAGGATGTTTATTTTGGTCAAAGTTCAGGCCATACAAAAATATTAACCCTTTTATTTAAGTTAAATAGAATAAAATTTTAGAATTCCAAATCTTGCTAGCCTCTTTATCGTTAGAAGTCTTTCACTCCCAAGGTCATTGAGACCAAATGCAAATTTCGGAGCAGACATACTTCCTTGGACTTGGAGTACATCAGTTCCAATTGCTCCTTTGGTCTTTTTATGAAGCCTTCAGCCCCCTTTCCTCCGTTTTTTTTTTTTTTTTTGCCTTTTATATTTCTCGATTTGGTAACTGTAAAAGCTAAACTGGGTCAGACAATAAGGGGGATGAGGCGGATTGAGGGAAGCTTTGAAGAATTCTTTCTTGGTCAGGTTTAGGAAGTTGTGCAAACATTTGTGATTGAGGGAGCATCAATAGTTGTGAGAAGTTTGAACAGATAGTCTGAGGATGAGTGCACTAAGTCTGCTTCAGACAAATCAGTGTGGTTTAACGAAAGGTGTTTTAGAAAATCATGCTCAAAAGATTTTTGGCCCAGAGGTAGTAGGCTTGTGTTGATCATTCATCTGGGATTCACGGTTTATCAGGAGGCTAGAATTTTTGTCTTTGTTCTGAAGGTTTGCATTGTTGGCTGAGGAGGTGGGATAAAAAAAAAAGGTTTTGTTGACAGAAGACGCTGTCTTTTCCCTTTTACCTGATAGTTTGGAATTCCACAGTGTTGCATTGATCTTTAGATCCACACGACTTACAGTATGTTCATATTGGGAACCAATCATTATGAAGCCTCCGTTGTTGTCGTGAAGATCCTTGTTCTCGATGTTCTTCGTCGCCTACGATGAAAAGACAGAGGGAAAGAGATGAAGAATATCCACTTATCGACATCGTCCAGATCCACTTGTTGTTGGATGAAAGATGTGAGTTTTTTTGAAATATTGGGGGCAGCTATTTCAAAAATCCATATTTGTGAGTTTTAAAATCCCACATTTGTGAAGCCCTTCCCAAGCATGAAATTTAGACAAAAATCTACTTTCTGTGAGATTGGAGCCAAATCCCATCATCAAAATCCCAATCTAATCAACCCCTCGATCCATTCTAGACAGTCTCCAGTGTTACGACCAAGTTTGCCACAATCATAACAAAAGTTAGGCAAGTTTTTCATACTTGATTTCTACCTCATCAAAATGTTATTCATCTCTACATTGAAACCCACATCGATAACCACCTCCGTCAAATATAGTTGTCAAACTCCATTTTCTCACTTATGATTTCTTCAATGGCATTCACATTAATAAATAGACTTCCAATGTTGAGAAGGTTACCCTCTATGTTCAGGGGCAAGCCCCCATATTTGGACTCATATCTTTGATGAAGGTAGGTAGGATTTGATGTAGCTGTAGGGGAAAGCGTGGTAAAGAACCACCCACCTGCAGTTCTTTTGTCTTCGGATAATCTGGATTTGCAAGATCCAGAAGGACTCCATAAAGAAGATGGCCATAAACTCTATTGAGGAGACAAGCAGGACTCCATTGATGAGAAAGCAAAGCTCTATCGATGAGAGAGGGGAGAGCTCCACCAGGGGGCACAACGCTTCTATTATAGATATGTCAGTGATTAGGACTGTGCTCTTTGCTTCCACCCTAGAGGAAAAGGACTAGAACAAGAAAATGAAGTACTCGCAATTTCCTTTTCCGCTGGTCAGGACTCTCATAATGCATGACAAATATTTGATCAAAATTAGGTATCTTCTCCCCGGGAAATTAGATGGAGGTAATGATAGCAGACTTGATCATGATGTTGTGCATTAGTTCTATGTTCTGGAAAAGCTATGGAAACTGGTTCTGCCTCCAAAGGTCAAGCAATTTATGTGAAAGGTGGGTAGAGGGAACTTACGTACATGGACTCAAATTGCTAAGTTTATTCTGCGAGCCAAAAATGAATGCCTTTTCTATGACAACTACGAGAACCAAACCCATATTATTCTAGGCTACTCCTGATCATTCATAATTTGGAGAAAGAGCATGGTGGTTGGCTGCTTCATTGAGGGTGAATGTCTCTACCATGTGTGGCTGGAGAAGGTCTTTGAATTTTTTTCTTGAAGATGATGTCCAATGGTTCTGCACACTCCTCTAATTTGTCTGGGGGGGGGGGGGGAACAACCATTGATTCAAGATATCAAAGCTTGAAGAAGTTGAGATTTCTAAAAAAGCATCATGTTGGATAGACGAGTACCTTGAGGCACAAAACATAGTGAATCCAAATTTTCATGTCCTTTCATTTCATTTTCAACATTGGATAATCCACATATAGGTTCTTTCAATATGAGTTATGACACAAGATTGATTATCAACGACGACATTGCATGGGGATAATTCGTGATGATGCTAGGAGATTCATTCCTAATTCACTAGAAGGGAGAAGGGAACTTGTAGTGTGGAAGAAGCGGAGAGGGGGGGGGGGGGGGGGGGCATGCTTCTGAGTAACCAAGAGGTGGAAATGAGAGTGATAACCTGTAATTTATTCATTTCAAGGACACATTTCTTAGGAGTTGGATTATTATAATCATCATATTTTTTCCATTTTAGTTTGATTTTGACATTACAAGCGACACTTGAATCGTGTCATATTCTTCTATCTCATTTAAATGCTTATGAAAGCTTGAGTGGTCAGAAGGTTAACCTCCATAAATTAGCCATCATATTCAGTAAGAACACCCAAGCTTCAGTAGCATTGGACCTGGCTGTTATTTTAGGAGTTGGCTCAATTGGTGCAGAGGATCGTTATCTTGGGTTATCAACCCTAATCGCGCGATCCAAAAGTGACACTTTTCAACTAGTGGAGGCAAGAATTGCAAAAAGTCTTGCGGGATGGAAACAACGGACTATGTCCAAAGCGGCCATAGTCACCTTAATACTATCAGTTTTATCTTGCATGCTATTATGTCATGTTTCAAATTTACTATATATTGACCTATGCAAAAGACTTAATAGACTACTTGCCAAGTTTTGGTGGGGAGCTATGAGGCACTCCAATCACCTAGATGCCCATTGAATTACTTGGAAGGATATTTGTCAAAGTAAGCAGCGAGGAGGTCTTTGATATAGAGACTTTAGGATCTTCAACCAAGTGTTATTAGCAAAACAATGTTGGAGAATCTAGAAAAAACCAGATTTCCTTGTGGCAAAAATTTACAAAGGTCGATACTACTCACAAACATCAATATTTGACGCCAGAATAGGAACAAACTTGTCATGGGGTTGACAAAACATCCTATATGGTCGAGAACTTCTCATTCAGGGTCTCCGTTGGCAGATAGGAAAAGGAGAGAGTGTCTTGGCTAGGGCTGTAAATGAGCCAAGCCGCTCGCGAGCAACTCGGCGTTCGAATCGGAAAAAACTCGTTCGACAATCGGCTCGTTATTTAACAAGCCGGCTCGTGATCCAACTCGTTAGTAAACAAGTCAAGCTTGAGCTAGACCATGCTCGCCTTGATAAGCTCGTGAGCTAGCTTGACTCGGTGGCTTGTTGAGCTAAGCTTGCAAGCTGGCTTGTTTAGAGCTTGTGGAAAGATTAATTACTCTTCTGAACATGAATATTATTTTGTTAATACGATTGTGTATGGAAATTAGTTGTTATTTTTAGTTTCTAGTGTTCTTTTTATCATTTAAATTCTTATGTTTACACATTTTTCAGCAAGAATGATTTCAAATCGAGCTTATCTTGAGTCGAGCTTGTACTCAGCTTGACAACCTGTGCTAATGAGCATTTACCGATCTTGACCGAATCGACCTCGAGATAGATTATTTTTAGTCAAGCCGAGCTCGAGTTCGAGCTGAAAAATTTATAAACGAGCAAAAACTCAACTCGACTCATTTGCAGCCCTAGTCTTGGCACTATCAGACTTATGGTTGCCTTCATCACCCCCCTCACACCCTAATCTAAAAAATGTTGCTATTTCTGTAGAGCCTATCTCGGTATCCTCTTTGATTAGCCAACAATCTAATCAATGGAGGATGAGTTTGATTAAGGAAATTTTCTCCCCCGAATCAGTATCTCTCATTTGCTCTCTTCCGCTTGCTAGACACAACCAACTGGATTTGAGAGACTGGCATTATACTCCAAATGGTGAGTACTTAGTGAAAACAAGATACCATATGGGCATAACCTTAGCTCTATCAAAAGAGGGTAAAGAGTATAGCTCAGGTAATGGATGAGGGATTATGGAAAAGGACATGGCAACTCCAAATTCCTCCAAAACTTCGTTTCTTCATATGGCAAGTTTTAAGAGTAATCATTTCTGCTATGGCTATCCTTAAAGCAAGAAAACTACCAGTTGAAGACCTTTGCTTAATATGTCGCCTTCAAGCCGAAACATTGGAACACCTGTTCTTTACCTGCCAACTAGCTACACGACTATGGCGAATGATAGAGTTGGATAATATCCTCAATCAAGGCGCACAAGAAAATTTTAATACTTGGTGGCGGAGAATTATGTACTCTATGTACAACCCATATCAGATTCTACAAGTCGTTTGTTTACTATGGAGAATCTGGAAATCCCGCAATACAGTAGTTTTCGAGGATACTCAACTACTGTCATCCGTACTCGTTGCTCAATTTTCTCACCAAGTACAAGAATTCTCCTCCGCCCACCCATTTGTTCCTCCTCCTCCACCACTGCTCATCCCATCAGTGCCTCTGTCCGGGTCTCCTCCTCCTCCTGGTCACCTCAAGCCAACTTCGATGTTGTTGTCCATCCCTCTCAAAGTAGTGCACGGGCTTGGTGTTGAAATCTGCAGATGACCATACGCATTTCGCTACTGGACTTCAACACCCTGGAATTGGCAACCCGTACCTTGCTGAACTACAAGCCGCCCGAGATGGTTTAACTTTGATTCGTCACCTTGACCTCCATGGAGTAATACTGGAAGGGGATTCTGAAGTCATCATTCGCCAACTACTTAGAGGAATCGAATCATATGCGATTGGAGGCCGGATGCTCAGGGACTGTTGTCAGATGATCGCTGTTCTAGACATAGGCTTAAGGGTTTGTGTTGTTCCTAGTACTGCCAATCGGGTTGTCCATAGTGTGGCAAGAAAAGTCCTTTCTCTATCTAGTGTAGAGTTGTTTTATTTGATTTTGTTGCATGGGTAGTAATGAGTAAGGAAATTATAGGGGGTCCATGTATTTATTGTATGCTATTGTCATATATGGTAAAAATAAAAAATTACGTCAAAATTAAAATAAAATAACTGGTGAAACAATGGGCGTGGCAAAATGAGTAAATGCACAAGAAACAGCGGTAGAGATCAACACAGATCAAAAACTTCTTCAAGCACCTCGTTCCAATCGCAATCAATCCCATCGATCCATTGATCTACCTCTCGCCGGCGAGGTGATTAAACTTCGGGCCGCCGCTCCGTTTTCCAAAATATCGAAATTGCGGGAAGAGATTAGGTTGATTTGAATGCCTTGGGAAACTTTCAGATAATTCTGCCAACAGCTTTAGGGCAATCGCAGGAAGCTAGAGGGAAAAGCCGCAATTGATCGAGTTCAAGGTGGGCTCAGAATGGACGGCATAATGAGCAAGCTGAGGAGCTTAGATGCGTACCCGAAAATCAATGAGGATTTCTACAGTCGTACCCTTTCCGGCGGCCTTATCACCATCGCCTCATCTGTTCTCATGCTTCTCCTCTTCATAACCGAGCTTCGTGAGTTCAGCCTGCCTATTTTTTCTTCTTCTTTTGAAGATTACTCATCGGTGATCCTCAATTCGCATGCTTTCGTAGCTTAGAGAATATTGCTGCGGTTTGTATCTCGGTTGCAATCATGCTTCTGCAAATGGGTGGCAGAAACTAGTTGACTTGACCTTCTGGGACTCCATTTTGGGGGATTTTAAGCGCTAAAAAGATTGGAATGATTTTGTTTGGCAATGCACATTTGCTTTAGATGTAGTAAGACCTCCAATGTTCGCTTATAAATTGTTAGTATGGCTCGTATCAAGAACCTGTAAATGCCAGCATGGTCTTGTTTCTGTGATCTCGTCCTGGATTTCTTTTCTGTCTCTTAGGAATGGGTTTCAATCTTCCGTCGTCTAAATGTGCTTTGGTGAATTCGAAAAGTATTATGCTTGTACAATTGTACTCCACATTGACATGGGCTAAACCATCAATTGGTACCAGTGGCACCAGTTCATAATGATTTAGGGGCACTGTTACTTGTTCCACTGGCTGCAGTTGTTTGGATTTAGTGATTATAGGCACAAAAAAAAAAGGGAATCTTTAATATGATACCTTCTGGATATGCAGCGCTAGTTCGTTGAGCTATGCTTGTGTTTTTAATTATGGGTAGGAGTGTGAAGTAACCTTCTGTAATCTGTTCTGCTGCTTTGATTGTTGGCCGAAGTCTATCATGACTATTTTATCAATGAGCCTTCTTCTACATGAATAGGGGTTCTTTTTTGTATTCGAGTATGGTATATTTTACTCTATCAGACTGATGCCTTGTAGAGTTTGTGAAAAGTTCATTGAAGCTACAGTTCTATGTTAGGATTTCATATAATCTTATCATGCCCTCGTTTCTTTCTGGCCATTGTTATTGACTTTGAATTAACCTTAGTCTAGGAAACTGCAAACTCTTTCATCCTTATTGTTCTGCTAGGAGATAGGAAGCGTTTCTTCTTGATAGACTCAATGGTTGTATTGGCTACCTGCTAGTTGAAGTTGTACATTGTCAATGTTAATGTGTTTGTAATCATCATAAGTCATAACTGAAATAAAACTCATTTTTCGTTTCTGTGACCATCTTCACGGACTGTGAGCCTAATACAATACAGTGCTTTTTTCTTCTCAGTTCCAGAAATTGTTTGCGTTACTTTTGATTGTTAACTATTCTAGCATCTTTTACAGGATTGTATTTGCATGCTGTCACCGAGACAAAGCTCATGGTCGATACTTCAAGAGGAGAAACTCTCCGTATCAATGTAATTTCTTTCTTTCTTTAACTATTAACTGTTAAGGAACTGATTTGTTCATTCAACATGTTGGATGTTTATTCGTCCTGTATTGTACTTTTCAATTTTCGCAAAACATACACTGGTACTTTTCGTGAAGTAGTATCTGTTGTCCAAATATCTTGTTTTTTTTACTTGCCAAAGTATCTCACTTGTTTATCATAATCCTGAAACTTTCAGTTTGATGTCACTTTTCCTGCCCTGCCATGCTCTATTCTAAGTCTTGATGCCATGGACATAAGTGGAGAGCAACATCTTGATGTGGTAAGTAACTGAACCTTTAGAACTTCTGGCGTGGTGATCTTGTTAGATATGGCACAAACACTATGTCTTGAGCTATCATTCCCAAGCCAATGGTGTCCTAATTTTCAATTTTCTGCAGAAACATGACGTTATTAAGAAGAGACTTGACTCTCGCGGCAATGTAATAGAAGCACGTCCGGATGGAATTGGTGCTCCTAAGGTTGGTAGTCTCATATACACATGTATCTGTAATATCTTTATATGGACATAAGTCACAATCCAGAGCACTTTCTTGCTAATTTGGATGTGTTCGTTAGACTTGTTTAGCATGTAGAGATTAAACCATGTGTTCCTGTCCCCTTTTGCATGTCTGTTTTTGATTGGGTATTATTGCTCTCTGCAGATTGAAAAACCTTTGCAGAAGCATGGTGGGAGGCTTGAGCACAACGAAACTTATTGTGGTTCATGCTTTGGTGCTGAAGAGGTAATCATTGATATCCTAAGTATTAGAAATAGATACTTCATCAATCATTCATCTCTTCTAGGTGACTTGTATTAAGAGTTACCATTATCTTACATGTGCTTCAAGCGTTACTTGGAAGCCGCAATATGTTGCACCTGGCTTTCGTGCCTCCCTGCACCCTAGGAAAAAATCCTTCATCTGGGGACCCTCCGAATCTACGCAGACTTTATGCTTAATCGTTGTCTGCAGACTTTTATGCTTAAGTGTTGTCTGCATTTTAGAAGCCTCTTCAATTACCACTCTATAAGCATCTACATATCTAGTGTTACTATCCTGTCTTCGTGTGCTTATTCTGAGAACATATCCTGAACATGTCAAGTCCTGTTTGATTTAGCATATCATATGTGCTCTTAAACTACTTCTAACTCTCATGTTGCAGTCAGACGACCATTGCTGTAATAACTGTGAGGATGTTCGTGAAGCATATCGAAAGAAGGGCTGGGCGCTGTCAAATCCAGATTTGGTTGACCAGGTGTGTTTGTTAGTAACTTTCTGGAATAATTCCTCTAGAGAATCCACATTCAACTTATGCGCAGTATTCGTTTCTTTATTCTTTCAACGCTTAGAACTAGTGTCTTATATATGCTCCACATAGAAACCAACAAGAAAAACTAGTCCTGTATTTCCATTTCAAGTTCAAATACATGTGTGACATATCTCGTCGAAATCCTAAACTAGGATTACTGTTATTTTGTGTGATTTTTATTACTCTTCCTACTTGTTTAGCATCTTAATGTTCCCTGAATCCCTGTCAGCTGTGTTATTGTGTTTTCATCCTGGTATTCCAACAAAATGCTTCATTATTATGCACTAGGTTTTGTTTTGAGTAGTGGAGTCAAGACTCATGACTAGCTGCCTTCTAAATTTATTGATTATTAGTTAGAGTTGTGTGCATATATGTGGCAGTCACCCGTAAAAGTTGCTTGGGAGTTTGTTTCATGGAAGGACTAAATTCTTCTAAGCTTTGTTCTCTGTTATTAGCAATTGGAGATTCTGGGATCCTCTTTAGAAATGAGCTCTACCCACTGCCATCAGAGCTAGGAAGAAAAGACTACCTTCAGCAATACCATGTACCATCACAGCCATGTCAACGGAGCCTGTATCAAATTCTTATGTTGTCTTGTTAAGATGAATTAATGTGTTCAAGGAGAGAAACCCTTGATTGAACTGTCTTGGGCCTGCCCAGCTCTTTATCTGTCGCAAAGAATGGTACTAGTGAGTATTCTAGTTTGGCAATACCTGTGTTACTTAGCCCTAGTATGCAAACAAAGTGCCAACATGTCTTGTTTGTGAATGTTTCTGGATGATTTGTGTGGCTAATTTTGTTTCATGTTAGAGCAGCCAGCTATTAATGTCGTTAACAAGAAGAATTCCACCTCGTGTTTTGCTTGTGATCTCAGTGTAAAAGAGAAGGTTTTCTTCAGAGAATAAAAGAGGAAGAAGGTGAAGGATGCAATGTGTATGGATTTCTGGAGGTTAATAAGGTGGCTGGTAATTTCCATTTCGCACCAGGGAAGAGTTTTCAACAATCAGGAGTTCATGTTCATGATCTCATGGCATTTCAGAAAGACACTTTCAATGTAAGTCAAAATTCTGCACTTCCTTAGTTTCTCTTTTATCCATGTAACTAGAAGGGTATCACTTGAAATTGTCCTCGTCCTTGTCCTTGAGCAAGCTTTATTCATTCGCTAAGTTGATTTACACATTTCTGAAAATCTGCGCAGGTTAGTCACCATATCAATAGGCTTAGTTTTGGAGAATATTTTCCTGGGGTTGTGAATCCTCTTGATGGGTAATGAGAGTTCTTCTGCCTTGGTTCTTTTCTCTTATTGTTCCAAAAGTTTGGTTTCTTATTCACCACCTTACCATTTTTTGTTTTCTGGATTTTTCTGAGCCAACATGTTGAATTTATTTTCAGTGTACACTGGAATCAAGAATCCCCAAGTGGGATGTACCAGTATTTCATCAAGGTTTTGTTTCGTAACCCTGTATACCTACCTTTTCTTTTGTCCCTACTTTGCAATGAATTACTTCCCTTGTTCCGTGTTTACATTATAGGTCGTACCTACTGTATACACTGATGTCGGTGGCCACACTATCCAATCCAATCAGGTATCTTCACCGTCCAAATGATATTTCCTTCATTCATATTTTTCTCAGCATCAATTAACGTACTTGTTTTGTTTCAGTTTTCTGTAACTGAGCATTTTAGGAGTGCAGAAGCTGGTCTTCTTCAGTCCCTCCCTGGAGTGTTCTTCTTCTATGATCTATCTCCAATTAAGGTATAGCTTTCCTTCTGCACATATGGTAGTACTTTCCATTTTATCCTAGGGTCATTCAATCGTTAAATTTGGTACACCTAACCATATCCACCTTTCCCTTTACCTCTTAAAGGTTACATTCATGGAGGAGCACGTCTCATTCTTGCATTTCTTAACCAATGTTTGCGCTATAGTTGGAGGTAATTAAGAACCGTTTCCCCCACACAGAACATTTCCACAGTTTCTCTATCAAAAGCGGATTTTCGATGCTAACGAATTTCCTTTTTTCAGGGGTTTTCACGGTTTCTGGGATATTGGATTCATTTATCTACCACAGTCAAAAGGCAATCAAGAAGAAGATGGATCTTGGTAAATTTAGCTGATAGCATCATCGTTGTCTTAGTGATGCGCGCTGAATGGTGTTCCGTGGGTTCTTCGCCTATGCCAGCAATTGCCTAATCTGGGGAGAAAAGTTTCTGAGGGTTGAGAAAAAGCTCCAAATTGAAATGAAGTGCTGCTGGGGATTGTTTGGAACAGATCCAAGTGTAATTGTGTATTTATTTTATTCTGTTCAGCTGTTCGATTCATACTTTGAGAGAGATGGCGACGGACTGAAATGCCTCCATAGTTTTTCCGTTACAGTTTTGTTTGTATGACAGTAATAGACACAGAGAAAAGGCAGGGGTATAGCAGTTCACTCCACTAATTGACGATGGATGCGTGCTTCATTTACTTGAGCAAAAAGCAAGTTGGAAACAATTTCCATGGCGAGGATAAGAAATTGAAATGTCTGGTAGACATTGGCATCACTCTTTTGCAGGGCACTTGACTTGTCTGACCTGTCTTTGAATGGTCAACTTGCACAATTGATCTCCACTTGATTCTGTCTTATCGTCTCTGAAGGATCAACGTATATAATTGATCTGACTTGTCTCACCCTGTTTTCTTTTTGACGTTGTTTGATCCTCTATGATCAGGGTGCATCGAGTCAGTGCAGGTTGGGTTAGTGAGTCAGCTCAATAAATTTTCTAAAAATACATTTTGGTATCCATATTTATTTTTAAATACAATTAACACCAATACTTAATTTTTTCATAGGCCTAGAAATTTTGGAGGTAAAATGTTGTTTTAGTACCTTTATATTTTTAAACTTGTATTATAGTACCTAAACTTTTAAAACTTTACAAATATATCCAATGTGTTGGTATGAAGAATTTCATATCAGTAGTTGTTGCTATGGGTCACAAGGTCAAAATGTGATCTAGCCCTAAGTTGGCTCGACCGTACCTGACCCTTGCAGGGTCAAGATAACCAGATCCTAAACTGATCTTGTAGACAAACTCACCTAGCTCTGCCTCCAAGGTCGGGGCGAGTCGAGGCTGGTCTTTGGGTCTTTAACATCAAGCTTACACCCCTATCGTTTTGTTCCCAATTTTCTTGTGTCTTGTACCCCCATCGACTTGCACCCTCCTTGTTGCTAAACATACTGGTAGTCTTTAAGTGATGTGATAACTGAAGGGTTTGCACCTAATCCACTGACTCATGTGGTACTCTCTATTACCTCGATTTTGAGTGTCCTTAAAACTTCTAGGGTTTTTCAACTTCACACATAGAAACAATCTGTAATCAATAGGTTGAAGGTAAGATAACCTATCATTGTAGTAAATCAATGATTCCGACATTTAAATTCGGGTTCATCCATCTGGGTTAATCCTAAAATTTATTTTTTGACATGATTTTACTTTTCGTTATCTTTCGGCCTCTACAACAATCTACACACTAATTTATAGAGATTCAGCATGATGAGTGGGTTAAAACAAAAATTGGAGCCTCCACATTATCTCACGAAAGGCTAAAGGTGTCTTTCCATCTTATTAAATTTTTTTGTTTATTTTATAATCACTCATTTTGATTAATTCGTTCAGGTTGGACTTTTTTTTAATCTGTTTCTAGCATTTTATTTTTACATAGTTATTACTATTATTATGACAATTTTGATAGAATAAACAAAGTACATCTTATATGTGATTTGTTCGTTGGTCAACAAAAATAATGTTTCTAGAATTTTATTTTTACATATGACTATTACTACGACAATCTAAAAGAATTTGCTACAATGACTTTATCTAAACTCCAAGTAAAACTTACATATAGTTCGTCATGTAGATCTTTGTAGTTGATCAATAAAATCCGTAAAGGTGACACCTATATTAAACAGGTCAATCTACACACCAGATTGGTGGATGTAAACAAGTGCAATGTCTACCATTTGATATTCAAACAGACCTTCAACTCATATAAAATCATTGCTACAAATTTTATTTGTATAGGCATGCAGTGGCGGATCCAGGAATTCTACGTATGGGTGTCCTTTATAAAAAATTAAATTAAATATTAGAATTAAATTAAATAATTATTAAATTTGAAAATATCTAACTTATAGAAGTTACATTAAAAGTTCAGACTTGTTTCGTAAAATGGTAAAATGCATTCGGTGTTTATACTGCTCAACAAATATCTCTCGACATATCCTACTAGACAAGGGTATCCCGTAATTGAGTTTAATCGTTATGTTTTGAAAATAATTCGAGATAAGAATAACATTTTACTATTATATTTGGATTTAAAACACAATAACAAATGAGTTGTAGCGTAATTGAAACTATATTAACTAATAGTGGCAGTGTCCCAAGTTTAAATCACATAAACTACTACGTAAATATTATTTGTACCAATACGCAAACTACTACGGGAGGTTGGATAATCATTTACCCAAATTTTAAAGGTGTCCCGTTACAACTTAAATATTTTTTTTCTCATACGCAAACTACTATTATTGGTTGAATAATCGTGTTTCCAAATTTTAGGGTGTCCCTGCATGTATCTGCCATTGTAGGCATGTTTCCCTCAAACATTCAATCTAATGAGAAATGTGATCGACTCACACAAAGCATATCACATACTAGCACTATTTTAATCAACCTTATCAATCAATAGGTCTATCAAAGTTTTTTGCTAGACTCTAAATAAATACATTTTATTTGTTGTTTGACCAAATCATCATAGACATGCCCCGACTGAAAATATAAACTTTTTGTTTGGTAACTCTGGCCATAAGCAAAAAAAATTCCAATCACATTCAAATTAAATTTAAAAGGTTTTAGTGATTCATTAGATGCCCCGTTTATTTGTGCATGTAACATGTAGCAAGAACTAAGATAGTATGAACATAAATTTAGGAAGATGTTTTCTTTTTAATTTGAGCAAAAAGGGCATTTCACATTTTTGTAAATATAATACCATTAAGTTCTTGATTGCAATGAAATCTAGGAGAAGAAGGAATAGTCTTCTAATAATGATCAAGCCATTAAGGTTGTGCATTCTGTAATAGAGATAAGATGTTGTGGAGAATAAACGAGGGACAATTATTAGTGAGAAAGAGCAAATATCATATATTTGCTTTCAGTGAAATGTAGAAGAGGAAGGAGGACGTCATTATTGGTGAGGATAGTAATGATAATGTAGAAGAGGAAGCAATCGCGAAATTCAAAACAAAATATGTAGTAATTTCTAATTAGAGTGTGATTTGGAAGAATTTTTTTGGAGTTGATTCTCTTGCATGACTTTAGTTGATGAATCTCAGTTAGGATGTCAGAAAAATTTATGATCCATGTTCTTTTTATTTTTCCAATATTTAAAAATTATTCTCTTATAATCACAAATGAAAATGTATTTTGCTTCCCAAAATTATTATTGTTATTTATATCATGATAAAATCTATCCAGCCAACTGGCCGGCGGGTCTGAATCTAGTATATTAAAAGATATTTGTTCAAACATATAGAACACTTCCGTGCATTGAAATTCAAACCACTCATTAATAACAATTATGTGCTATAGATATTTTTCGGTTGTTCATGATTTTGTATATGATTCGCCCATGTGAATGGAAACTTTTAGGTCCCATCTGCAAATCCTATTCCTAGTAGGACAAGAAATCATTGTCAGATTGGTGATTCGGTACAAAAGGCACTATTCTAGCATGGTTTGAGATCCTAATTGGAGTAGGATAGTAAAGCCTTCCTTCTCATTGCAGAGAGTAGAGAGTAGAGACCCTCTAAAAGTATGACTTAATAAAGATATTATGACTCTCGGTGTATTTAATTTATGAAGGCATATTGTAATTGATTAATTGGAATATGTATCTTAATATGAGCTCATAGGTACTCGAAAAACAACATATAATAGTAGGGGTGATAATCGGTTCGGTTGCGGTTAAACCGAACCGACGGGTCGGTTAGCCGACACCTATTAGAGGTCAAAACAGCCAACCGCAACCGCAACCGATTGTCCAATCGGTTAGCCGAAACCGCTAACCGTCGGTGTCGGTTCGGTTGGTCGGTTGACTATCAACCGGAAATTAATTGAAAAGAAAAATAAAAATTCCAAAAAAATATAAAACAAAAATAGAAATTAACAGCCCTACCTCTAGCATTCTCGATCCTTCTCCCCATCTCATTCTCTGTTACCCTATCCTCTCTCCAAAAGAAAACCCCTCTCTCTAATCTCTCCATTCCTATCGCAAGCTCTCTCTGCCACCCTCTACCCTCACCAAAATTTCAAGAAAATCATCAATTCCCGTCGACTTCTTCCTCCGCTCTGAATCCTTCCATCGATTTTCTCTGGTCTACCTTCTCTCCTTTGCCTTGGAGCGAAACCAAAAGTGGCTGGATCTTGACGTCATCGCTTTCTTATCGGCAGAGGCGACAACTTCGGTAGGGGTCCATCGGCGGAGGACATGCATGGTGCTCGGCTAATTGATCTCGACGCCATAGAGGATTTGATTGTCCTGCTGGCAAAGCCCCGGGCTTTTCTCCACTCTCATCTCCACCGCCGCCGGAATAGATGGGGGAAGAAGGCGGAGCAGCGTTGGTCAGCGGGAGGATGGCGACGCGAAGAAGGCCGGGAGCGGGAGGATGGCGCTCGACGGCGAGGCTAGGGTTCAGCCGTTCAGAAATGGGGAGGCGGAGGAGAGGCGGCTGAGATTCTTTCTGATATCGCCTCGCCTCCTTCGTCTTCGATTTGGGATTTAGAATTAGGTCAGGGGAGGCGGAGCACTGGGTGGCCGAGAAGAGAAGAGGTCGCCCAAAGAGAAACGACGCCAAATTGACTGATTGGGTCGGTTTTGGCGGTTAGTCTGTTCGGTTGCGGTTTTTAACCGCTAACCGCTACACTCTGAACCAAGCTGGAAACAGGCAACCGCAACCGCTAACCGCAGCCCATTCTCGGTTTTCGGTTGGCCATCAAACCGACGGTTTCGGTTCGGTTGACGGGTTAACCGGAAAACCGGAGACCGATTAACAGCCCTATATAATAGTAGTTCACATGCCTATGTTGCTAAACATAGTGGTAGTCTTTATGAAGACATTTTTGGAATTGATTGCAGGTGCCCCAGATTTAGTAGGCCCTACTGTCACAAAGTGACACGTGGGGTAGAGATCCCTGGGTAATAAAAAAAAATAGTTAATATCAACTAAGCATATGATTATGAAGGCTCCAGAATGAGTAATCAAATCTTAGCCATCACATTTAAGTGGACCCAAAAAATTTAGATATAAGAATGGAGAATTAAAGACATTTTTATTTTTTCTTGTTTTCTTAATCGGCTCATATCTTCTTCGTTTTAACTCAGATTTCAATTTTTTTTGCACAGATGGAACGAGTTTGTGTGCTCTACAAAATGAGATCAATTTTCAATTTTTTTAAAGAAATACCTCGATATCAACTGCATACCATATGGTATCTTCTTCGTTTTAAGTCGTTTTTTTAAATTTTTGCACAAAATGAACGAGTTAATCATGATCTATTGGATCTACAAATGTTTGGGTGAACAAAAATACAGGAACAAAAAATATCACCCAATACCACCCTAGTATAGGGTGGTATCTTATGGTATACAATGTTGAAAGTCGTAAGTGACAGTTAGTATACTCCTATTATCATGTATTCAATCATCCTACAGTCTTGATATGTTCATACCATACCACCATGGTATGCTCTTATTTAATACCAGTCAATATCATATGGTATATAGTGGTAAAAATGTCTCATTTTTTTGTTAAAAAATATATCAAAGTGGATATCATTTTGAAAAGCACAATTAATCTGATCTAACTATAAAAAAAAAAATTAAATTCCAACATAAAACAAGTGAGAAATCGTCCGTTAAAAATAATGGAGGGAAAAATAAAAGATTTTCCATGAGAGAAAAAGGGCGCTAATATAGCGGATAGTGATTGAATTATTTATAGTTGCTCACCACAAGATTATGCATATAAAAAGCGAACAGGGTAATTAGCAAGAATTAGTAATTCAACGGTTGTCATTACCTACTTGCTTACCATAAAAGAATACAAGCTAGAAAAATACATGAATAATGAATCAATACTACAAAGTATATAAACAATTTTATAAAATTGTACAGGCTAATATTACAAAGTATATAAACCAGAGGGTAAAAGTAAACAAACCAAATAATTTAAAGTATACAAGTTAGATTACAAAAATATACACATTAATATTTCAAAGTATGCAACCCAGGTAATAAAAGTATACAAATACATTGTACACAGTGCATAAAAACATTACAAAAAAAATACTGCTCACATTACAAACCAATTATACAAATATACAAATCAAATTGTAAAGGTACCCAATTAATATTACAAAGTATACAGATCAAACTAACATTGTATACAAGGAATACTAACGATATAAAATATTCACTACTTACACTGCAAACCGTACAAACCAATAATACAAAGTATGTGTACTAAGTATATAAACCACATCATAAAAGTATCCAATTCTGACTAACATTTTCTGTTTAAATATTCTAAACAATTGTCCTCAATACATATGTTGTGTTGTGTGAATATCTACATTGTGTTGTAAGAAAATCACGAGTTACATGTTGTAAATATATCGAGATTAAGTCTCTTAACGGATGGAAGTAAAAAAAATAAGTAGAGTTCGTATAAAAAAAAAATCATAAATTTCTTTTTTTTTTTTAGGTTAGAAAAAAACAAAAATATAATGACCTGCTGACGAAAAGGGTTGTCAGCAGATAGATACCGTGCTTGTACGGCACTACCATACCATCCCCCAGGTTTAGACTTTCCCAGCCCAAGGTTTATAATAAGTCACCATAAATTAAATGGGCCGTGGTGGCCCAGCTGCTGGGTGTGAAATAGTGTACTGAGCTGAGTACCAGAAAGCGCGTCGGCAATGACTTAGATTTACGCGTGCCTCTCTTCTCTCCGAATTCTCGCATTATCATTTACAAGTTGCAACCAAGGAGGCTAAAGTGAGTCCCCCAAAAGCCTTGGATTTAGGGACACTACTGACTTCGACAATTTTCAAAGCCCTAAAGGGACGGGCGTTCATTTCATTTGGCATACGAGTTGCGTGGGTAGATTAGGCTGTGTTTTGTTTGTGTTAATATTACGGGATATAACCAGTGTCATTGCGGCTAGCACGGTTAATGAAGTTCTCGTAGTTCGTTGGTTGGTTGCTCACGAATAAGTTGCATCTCCCTCCGTACCTACCTCGTCGTTTTGCGACAATCAGCCTGCACGTCTCTGTCAACCCGGTGTTTCGCGAATTTGCTAAGCATGTGTGAGACATACTGCCGTTTCGTTCACGAGCATGTTGTAGCTCGTTCTACGATCTAGCAGTCAGTGGTTCAAATTATATTTTGGTTTCGTGAGTAATTTAAATGCAACTACATAAACTATAAGCTATTCAACTTGTAATTGCTATGTTTTAATGAACGATTAAATTTGAACCGGTAGTCTAATCATTTATTGAAAATATGATATGTCAGTAGATTTGGGGGTTGTTTGAAGGTAGGGGTTGTCCAAATTGAAGTATTTAATCAATTTGTAGTATTGTAATTTGATGTGTTGATGAAATGTATGAATTTGAAAAACGCCTTGTTTAGAGGTTTACATTGTGCTTTGTTATAAATAAATAAATAAATAATAGAGGGTAGACAAATCTCTTGGTCACAATCTCACCTTTTTGTAGAGATCGATAATCACTCATTTTGAGTGATTGTGGATGGGCTCAGGAAAAAAAAAAGTAATACTTGTATTATGTCACAAATTTAACCAAAAAACGACTTAATCTTGATATTACATCTATTAGCTAAATACATCGCTGGAAATCCCAACCTACAAACGAATCCCTTGGATTTGTTCGTACTCGGCATCTGCGGAAGCAAACGAAGGTGAGAGTTACGAGAATCCCAGTTCAAAAATGGAATATATCGCATAGAAACGGTCCAACCTAGTTTTCTGGGCAGTCTGTTTCAACGTCTGTCTGTCCGTTTTTGGTCTATGGATGGCCAAACCCGTGGACGGAAGCGCTAGTTGGATTTTGGCCTACTCCCGTTACAATATGGTTCCAGAATCTTCAAGAAAACTCCACATTCAGAAAGAAAGAAAGAAGAGGACACCTCACCATACGATGGGCCCCACCGGCCACCACTCTGAGTCACCACACCAATCGTCCATAGCCCATCCAACGGCTTCAACTTTACCAGCCGTCCAGCCCTCTAAATCCTAATTTGTTAAGACCAAGGTTGTCAAACCGGTTTATGCTAGTGTGCCGGTTTAATTGGTGGCACATACCAGTTTGTGTCTGTTCAAGCCTATCAATATTACAAATACTCATATTCAAACACGACATTTAACGTCAATATCTGAACATTTGAACTTTGAATCCAACAAATAACATCAAAATTTAACTTTTAAACTCGTAAAATAAACAATAAATTAATTTTTATCAACTAAATTTACTAAGATAAGATCATTTTACTTAGAGATTCGTATATCCATCATCCGATAGTGTCACGCGGGTTTATGACCGGTACCAGTTGAACCAAGTTGAACCAGTGGCACGTCGGCCGGCGTGACAACCATGGTTAAGACTTAAAAGGGCCCTGCCAGTTTACCAAACCTATCATTTCCTCAACAACATTTTTAACCCGTGGATAAAAAATCATGTAACTATTTTAATCAATAGTGTTTGGTTAGTTTGATGTGATTAATTCGTTTAATTGGTCTTATTTGGTTAATAAATATTGATTTTTTTTGTTAAAAGAGTTTAATGCATTATGCATGGTATGAGTTGTTATAAGAACCGAACAGGATCAACGGCCGGGCTAGTAGAATCGTCAAACCAGTAATGATAGCGGTCTGATTCATTGCTTGAGCGGTTATTGATGGACCAAACGGTTTTTCACGGTTCAACGTAAAATTAGATGAACCGACACGGTTTAACAGGTCCACTATTTTAACAAAAAAAAAAAAAAACTTTAACATAAACTAATACCATCAAATCATAATTAATTTTATATATGCTTCCTCAACCTTATTGTCGACTTTACGTTGTCTACTACCAACTAGAACCGTAACTTTTAATTTGAATTAAAAAATGTGGTTTCTTTTGTGAGATAGCTGGAATGATTTATTAGATATTTTGGTGATGATATGAATTTGAACTTGTTTATGGTCAATGATAATTTCATTTTTAAATTAGTATAATATACAAGTCTTATATGTTATATATCATGAACTGTTCTATCAACGGTTCACCAATGATTTTGTAACAGTTAATCGGTGAACCCTAAACTACTAACTTTTCCGGTTCAGCCTCCGGTCCGGTTCCGAAAACATACCGTATGACCCAACTCGAAATTGATAGATTGCCTTGTTATTTTGTAAAGTTTATTAAGTAATGATTTTTCATCATATCACGGATTGATGCATTAGAAAAAAGAATTTATTAATGTAATTTGGTTAATCCCACAAACCTAATCATTTACTAATAATTTACGTCCAAATCGGTATAAACTACTACGATTTTATTTACACAAGGTCTGGAAAGGATTCTCAATGGTAGTATGCCGAGATATTTTAAGACTAGGGGTTATGAATAATCCTCCTCATGGTTACATTACATCACTGCTGCTATTATAAACAACACCTACATTGGGGAACTTTCTGGATCATACAACAAATTACAAAACTACCAAGAGAAAGAACAAGTCTTCGTGGTTGGGGGCTAACAAAAACCCAGCCCGCGCCACCAGACCTTCCAATTTACATAACCAAACCCTAATCAAAATTTTACACTCTACTACTCCATAACTGGTCTCTCTGCAACTGTCAAAAACTCCATTGCAGATGGCCACTACTTACTTCCTGAAAAGTTACACAAAGAAGATATATTAAGACTGTGTCATAAAATGGAAGCCCAATCGATCTCGTAAGAAGGGCACTTCTCCAAATTGAAGTTCCCAGTGTCATGATCCAACGGCGCCTCTTCGAACTCCGGAAACGTCAGATCTGATAGAGGTGACGATGATCCTCCTGACCCATCGCTTTCCGTCGCAACGGGGGACACCTTCTCCTCCTTCACCACCGCTGCGGCTTTGGCAGCCGCAGCAGCAGCCTTCTTTGCAGTTGCCGCCGTCGAGGGTTTCTTCTTCTTCTTCCCTCCTTTCCCGCCGTTCTCCGCCAAGCTCTGGCAAATCGCTTCGAGCTTGGCGTCGACGGAGGAATGGAGGGGCTTGTACTCGCCGAACTTGCCCTCGACGTGGGACCCCTGGTGGCGGAGGCTGGGGAAATTCAGCCTGGCGAAGTCGCCGCGGAGCTTGAACGCCGCCTTGTCGTAAGCCAAGGCGGCTTCCTCGGCGGTGTCGAACGTTCCGAGCCAGAGGCGCGTCCTGTTTCGGGGGAGACGGATCTCGGCGACCCATTTCCCCCAATGCCTCTGCCTCACTCCCCGATAGAGCTTCACGGGCTTCATCGGGACAGGCTTCGGCGCCAGGAAGCTGAGCGTGTTGTGCTGGTGCTGCTGCTGGTGCTGAACAGGGAAGTTCTGGAAACAGAGCTGCTGCTGCTGCTGCTGCTGGTGGTTCGTCTGGATCTGAGCTTGGATCTGGTCAATTTGGACAGGGGTAAGATGGTTGAGCCCGATTGAGCTCGATTGGTAAACAGACGGGTCTTGGATCTGAAACCCAGAAGAAAATGGGTGGGTAATCGACCCGGAAAACCCGTCTGGGTAAAAGAAAGAAGGTTGCTGCTGCTGCTGCTGCTGCTGCTGGGGAGGAAGAGGAGGAAGCGCAGCAGAGAAAGAAGGGGAACAAAATGAAAGATAACCAGAAGGTGGAGGTGAAGTGGAAGAAGAGTAGGAAGTAGAAGGAAGCGAGGTGGATGAGGAAGAAAAGGTTTCAGAAAGGGAAGGTGTAACAACGGCCATGGATGGAGGAGAAGAAGCTGCTGCTACCGAAGAAGGGGAAGAAGCACTTTTCATAAAAGGTTCAAGTGCTCCCATCAGTTCGTCTCCGTATAGATCCGACTGAACTGATCTGCTGCTGCTACTGAAGAAATCCATCGTAGCTGCCATGTCCGGGTATAAACAGCTCAAAAGGAAAATAACTATGGAAAATTACAAACAACAACAAAAAAAAATTAAAAAAAATAGTCCGCCTGTTCTTAATAAAAACTCAAGAACACCGGCGAGATGAGAGTTGAATACTCGATCAAAGTGGGTATGAAAATAGACAACCCAGATTGATGATTCAACAAATCAGACTTCAAAGGGATATACAAAAACAACCCCTTTAAGCCGATCTACCTAACAAAAAAAAGAAGAAGAAAAAAATTCACAAAGAACACATAGGTGAAGAAAACCTGGATCTCGATTCTGAAAACACCTGGCTTTCGAGGGAAATTCCTGTTTTTTACGTTTCAAAAGTTGGCTTTTCAAATCAATCTTGTTACTGAATATATGTTATGTATGTGAATCAAAAAGACAAACCCAGAAACCAGAAATCCTTTTGAAAGAACAGATGATTGACAGAAAGGGATTCAGAGAAGCTGGATGTTACAGACGGTGGGTGGAAATCGGGAAAACGAAGCAGCAAAAACTAATCCGATGAACTCAGGACGCTCTTTTTTTTTTTCTTTCTCTCTCTGGCTCGCTCTCTCTCACACACTTTTTTCTCTCTTTTTTTTTCTTTCTCAAATCTGTTTTTGTGGTGTGGAGTGATCTCACCGCTCTCTGGTTTTTCTCCGCCTGCCTCTACTGGGTTTATATAGCAGCCGGAATACTGAATTGTGCCATTTTCTTTATTCAAGGGAGAAGTACAAATTTAATTATCTTTGTATTTGTTCTCCACTACCAATTCTTAATTATTATTCGCCTGAGTTTTTCAATGCAATAGATTACTACAACCTCACGCCTGAGGTTGTGTAATTTTCAAGTGAAAGATTGAGATCTTTCTGGCTGCTGCGATATAAGATTTCAGTCAATTGTTAATAACATGATGGGGGGGAAATCACAAATTACAGGTTTGTCACTCCGTTTATAAAAAAATTTCATCAATGTCATTCTAATTTTTTCTTTTTTATTAGTCACTCGTTAAACGCCAATTTAGATTATCGATTTTATTAGTTTTGCGTTTTTAATTGGATATGTTACTCAAGTCATTCAACGATGGCGATGTAGAACCCAGATTGTGGTTTATGTACAAATTCAAACTTTGACTAAAAGCGCTTTCAGCCGACCCGAAATCTCGGGATTTCGGGATTCGCATATATATTCAACAGAGGACTAGACTAAAGTTACCACCGCCATGCTCGTAATCAAGCAGCAAAAGGTGATATCACGCAATAGATTGCAAATGAAGCATCAGAGCACTTCTTCGATGTACTTGTTAAATCGAGAAACTGATCAAGGAGAAATGCTTCTAGGATAGTCAAATCAGCTCAGAGTTATGATAATCATTACATTGTAGATTTGTAGTGCTATTACAAATGAAAGAGTAATCTAAGCATCTTAAGTGAAATGAATAACCATATCGAGGAATCTATTAGTCCAACGACATTTGAAAGTGATATTTTTTTCCTCCGTATTTAGGCTAAAATCATCTCTGTTTGATACATTCTCAATAGATTTATGATAGAAACGATATAAATTGTCACCGACAAAGCTGAGTGCCCAACTGAATTGCTCCTATAAGTTCGATGGATATTCATAGCGTTCGAGGTCTGTTGTTTATAACGAATTTACCTCATATAAAAAAGAACATTGGAGATATTGTTCAAAAATACATGTTGGCCGATCAATATTATTTTCCCCTAAAGATGAGGGTATACTCTTTGTTGGGCATTTGACATCCTATTAAATTATAAACATGATCATCCGGCGCATAACTTAAGGGATAGATTATAAAACCAAGTTGAAATCCCAACGTATGATACATTTTATGATTTTAATAGCAAGTTGTTGCTTCCAACTTCGATTTTTTATAGCTGATTCATTTTGCTTTTTTTTTTTTTTTTTTTTTTTATGGTTAGTCTTGTATAAAATGTTCATAAGTATTCCTAATGTAAAATTTGAAAGGAGGCTTCCATTTTAAAGCTATCCTAACATTTACTTAGGTTGAAAGTTATATGTGTTTGGCATATACTGAATATCCGATCGAATTGCTATGTATTTGCTAACATTGAATACCAAGTTCTTTTTGAGATTAGATTGATTTTAAAGTATCATTTGATGTCCGGATTATGAGTTGAGATTGGTATTATCAATAAATAAATCATATACTCGGAATATGAAACATAATAATATAAAAATACGACCTTTTTATTTATTCAAATGAGTAATAGGAGATCCAAGATGTGTCATGAGGGATGAGGCCATCACACTTTTCGGGTAATGGTAAGATATAGGGGATCCGACGAGATGAGAAAACAGAAAACTAGTGAAATATGATTAGTTGCTAACCTCATAGAAGATTAGCACCGTACTAACTAAAATGATAGCCATTAGATTAAGAATTAATCCTATGGTTAGAATTCAGTAAATGATAATTTAGTCAATACGCCCTCAAACCCTAATATAAATACTTATTTTTCTACCACTCGTTTCACGTCTCTCACAACTGCTCACATCTCTCCCACTTTCTAAAAACCCCAAATACTTCTTCTTTCTCCCTCTCCGAGCAACATAACTCCCATCTCTGTTCAAACTTCCGTTCGGCTGCGCCTTAGCCTGCGTCGACCATTATCACGCCGGCCTCGCCCGCTCCAGAATCACTCTCGCTCGTGCAAGCCTCGCCTGCAACGGCTTTGCCAAGCCTCCCACCAGCCTTGCCATTAGGGCTGATAAACGGTTATCCCGTTAACGGTGTAACCGATAACCGAACCGGAACCATTGCTTAACGGTTACACCGATAATCGATTAAATGATAAACGGTCGATGCTCCATAGCCAAATTTAGCTAATAACTAACCGATGGTTAAATGGTTAATCACCGACTAACCGATTATGACCATCCTCATAGTTAAAGCTGAAAATAATAGACCTCCATGAGCTGCAAATATAGGCCAAAAATAATTGGGTGTTTGAAGGCTTACAATATCACTTGCCTATCCTAGTTGTAATAGTGACTTAGACTCAAATGAGAATAATTTAAATGAAGAGTTTTAGAAGGAACGCAGTAGAAAGTCAGACTTGCACATAGTTGCTCGACAAGAATCAGTAACATTAAGTTTCTATGTAATTTGATGGGGTTTACGAGTTGAGTAATTGTTGTTCAATATCGTTGCATGCTTCTTTAATAAAGTTTTACGGGAGAATAATATTATTGTGTATTTGTGTTGGATTGAGTTGATTCTGTATTGATATATATCCATGTTAAATTATTTTTTATTCATTAATAACAACTTAAGAAAACAACAAATGCCTATGAAAAATTATAGAAAATTTCACAATTGAAGAAGTAGGTCTTATGTTGGTTAGGTTATCGATTGGTTATTTTGGTATAACGTAACCTTGCCGAATCACTTGGTTAACGGTTATTCGGTTAACTGACAAAATAACCGAGAACCGACTATACGCAATGGCGGATACATGCATGGTTAGGGGTGTCCCGGGACACCCCTAAAATTTGGAAACACGATTATTCAACCTATAATAGTAATTTGCGTATGAGGAAAAAAAAAGTTTAAGTGGTAGTGGGACACCTTTAAAATTTGGGAAAATGATTATCTAATCTCCGGTAGTAGTTTGCGCATTGGTATAAATAATATTTAAGTAGTAGTTTATGTGATTTAAATTTGGGACAGTGCCACTATTAGTTAATATATTTTCAATTACGCTACAACTCATTTGTTATTGTGCTTTAGATCCAAATATAATAGTAAAATGTTATTCTTATCTCAAATTATTTTCAAAACCTAACGATTAAACTCAATTACGGAATATCCTTGTCTAGTAAGATATGTCGAGAGATATTTGTTGAGCAGTATCAACACCGAATGCATTTTATCATTTGATGAAACACGTCTGAACTTTTAATGAAACTTTTATTAGTTAGATATTTTTATATTTAATACTTATTTAATTTAATTTTAATATTTAATTTAATTTTTTATAGAGGACACCCCTACGTAGAATTTCTGGATCCGCCACTGACTATACGGTTATGTTTAACCGACTAATTTAAACGGTGTGGTTAACAGTAAGTACAGAGTGATTAATGGTTAACCGAGAATTGATTAAACGCTTCCGGTTATAATCGAACCAAACCAATTATCAGCCCTACTTGCCATCAACCTCAATCTCGTTTGCGTTGTCTCGCTGCTTCCATCCTCTGCCTCTTCACCGTCCACTCTTCGCTAGCCGAATACGCAGAGTCAGCCGCTAGTCCTCCCTCGTCAGCTTGGAGACCCGGACCTGTCCTAGACAAGGGACTGTTTGTTCTTTTTTTTTAGTATTGATTTTGTTGTAGTGTTTTTAAATGTATTAGTAGTGTTTTTTTTTTATTGTAATGAAAGTGATATATGCTAATCATAAGTAGTGTTTTATTCATTTGTAGTATTTTCTTTATTTTCAGTAGTGTTCTCGGTAAAAAATCATAAATTACTATTAAATAAAAACCATAGTAATTAAAAATGTGAAAATAAAATCACTACTGATAATCATAAAATCACTACAAAATTTTTGTTAAATTACTACTAAGTAAGGTAGTAGTAATTTTTCGGCAGTTGTTTTCAAGAAAAATTATTTATAAGGTACGAGAGAAATATTTATTAAATTTAATTTCACAAAATTTAATATTTATTTAAATTTAATTTACTAAAATACCAAAAATACCCTTTTTAATTCCCACCGTCTGATTTAATATAAAAATATTGAACGATGATGAGAGTGGTTAGCACAGTACTAACTCCTCCAAAACTCGTCAATTGATAGTCTACGTTGCATAATAAAAATGATTTTAATGTGAAACGAATGATAAAAGCATTTTAGGCCATCACGTCGGGTGAGAAGTCATTGGTTTCATTGCATCCTCTACACTTGAGGGGATTCCCAAAAACTTGGCAGTAAATTAAGCGT